CCTACCCCATAGTACATGCCCAGTGGCGTGTGGTGTGTATGGGTATGAAGAAACATTTTAGAAATGAAAGAGGGAGTTAGGGTAGCTATTTTGTGGAAATCATTGGGTTTTACTTGATTGTTTTTTCCTTTTAGCACTGGCATTTGCTGCTGACTTTCAGTAGTGCCTGAAAGTAGTGACAGGGCCAGGGTCCAGGATGTTGAGAGCATCCTCCTCTTCAGCTGAGAGCAAAGTTTCAAAGGACAGAAATATCCCATGTGGTGTGTATGGGTGTGAGGAAACATTTTAGAAATGAAAGAGGGAGCTAGGGTAGCTATTTTGTGGAAATGGTTGGGTTTTACTTGATTGTTTTTTCCTTTTAGCACTGGCATTTGCTTCTGACTTTCAGTAGTGCCTTAAAGTAGTGACAGGGCCAGCGTCCAGGATGTTGAGAGCATCCTCCTCTTCAGCTGAGAGCAAAGTTTCAAAGGACAGAAATATCCCAGAAATCAAGAATCAAGAGAGAAATCATTGCCCTTATGAGACCTGCAGGTGTTCCAGTGTTGTTCTGCTTAGGGAGATTCTTAGGTCAGGAAATGCCCAATTTGCAAATGCAAGAGTTGATCTTAAATTTCACACATGAAAATACCTTTGGCTTCAGGAGCTTTGATGTTTTAGTGTATTGGTGAAGCACCGGGCTTCGGTTGTTGGTAGGTGTGTATAGATACACGTACAAATATATTCATGCAGCATGAGTCGTGTGGAGGCAGCAGCATTGAAAACAGCACTGCTTCATTCAAGTATTGTGAGACCTTGGGAAAGGATAATGCAAACTTCATCTGGCCTGCGTGTCTCTAGAATCAAATTTCTAGTGTGTCTTGGGAAGAATAAAAAAGGTTTTTTTTGTGTTCTGGCACTGTGGCACTGAAGTAGTAGCTGTTTTAAAATAACACAATAAATCATATTTGCCAAATGGGACTCTCTTCTTTCATAGGGATCTGCAGAGTTTCTGGAAGGGGCTGTGTGGAAAGCAGGCAGCAGTGTTTCCGCAGCAGCTGCGGAGCGTGGGCAGAGGTTTGCGCTGATAAGGACCCCTGTCCATCTGCAGTGGGCAGACAGAGCAGGCAAGGTCCCGAGGGCTGTAATCGCACTCAGCCTGCTGTGCTTCAGCTTCGAGGTTCCTAACGTGTTGTGACTCAGCAGAACCTGGTGTCCAGAAATGCTGACTCACCGTTTGCTGGCCTCCTTGCAAGTTATCAGTTGCTTGAACCTTCAATTCCTTTAAACATCTTAACAAACATGATGCAGCTGCTTGCTGTGCACTCTCTGCCTAGGAGTCATGGAGTCCCCCCTTATCAGTTCTTCATGCTGACAGGGTTTTCTAGCACTTTCATTCTGTGACTTACACAAATGCAGTGTTTATAGTAAGGCAAACTTGTGCAGTCTTTGGGAACATAAATCCACATTCATCCTGGTTTTGGTTCAAAATGTCAATAATATGTTGTTCATTCCTACCTGGTTAGCATTTATCCTGTCAGCATATAGGGCAAACATCAGTATAAAGGCATGGAAAGAGGGGGTTATGTTAAAGGCACTACAGTCCTTATACTCCCAGTGAGTTTGATTTGTACGTTGTCATCTTCCTTTTCAAGTAACTTGGAGCTTTCCTTTCTCACTATGTGAAACTGAATTCTATGATCTACCTGCTAGCACAGGGCCCAGTAACAACTGTAAAAAAATAAAGCAAATAAATTATTCTACTGCAGATATTGTGTTCATTCAAAGCATGCAGACAAGTATAGAAATCGCTCAATCTCTTCTTCCTTGCTGTTGGACAGGTCTGACCTGCTTTTCTGTGCTTTTAGAGAAATCTCCTTTCTTCTGCCAGAGACTGAGTTTTGGTATCTGTTGCAGATAGTTGACTTGATCACCTGTCCATCACTCTGGTTCCATGGATGTGTTTGTGGCTGAATGACTGACCAGTTCCTCTCCTGTGTTGCCTGTAGGCCAACGCGGATCCATCAGTGATCAACTGCTTGCACAATCTGTCCCGTCGGATTGCCATCGTCTTGCAGCACGAGGAGCGCCGCTGCCAGTACCTGACCAGGGAGGCCAAGCTGATCTTAGCCATTCAGGATGAAGTGTCTGCCATGCAAGAAAGTGAGTCTCCAGCTTAGCTATGCATAGAAACACACACCTGTATGGATGTCTAGGAACACTTTTTCAGAAGAGTGCCTGAGCCTTGTTACAGTTTTCTTGTGATCAGCATGAACAAGTTCTGGTGCTCTTCAGCATTTTGACTGCTTTTGGATGCATTTTGTCTCGTCCAAAAATCACTGTTCCAGTGCAGACATGTCAGCTTTTGAAGTGAAGTAGATTGGTTACTTTCCATGACATCTCAGTTCAGACTGATCACTGGAAAGTGTTAGTAAACCATCACATTTAGATGCACTTTACAGGCTCAGAAGGAAGGATTCCTATTCAGACTGCTTTACTCAACCTTGAGCAAGTTTCCCAAGCTCTAAAGCTGTATGCAGAGTCACCAGAGACTCTTCATGACAGATTTCACTCTTTTACATGTTCTTTCTATGGCTGACATAGTTACACAGCGTTTTTATAGACTCTGCTTCAAAGCAACTTCCTATAACAATAAGCAGATGAATGGTTTCTGAGACTGATGCATTGTCTTGCATGCGTCTAAAAAGCAAACAAAACCACTTAAAGTAATCATGTGTCAAATTCACAGATAAATCTGCTTAAGAGAGTTGAGTTTCAAAAGATGCAGCATTATCTTCAGTTAAATTATTGTAAAAACTTTGGAAAATAAATGTAGATTAAAAAGACATGGGATCTGTTCCTGTCTGATCTTTTAAATTGTAATAGTAGCACAAAACTAAGATACTTGCCGATACCTGGAGGGGAAAGGGGAGATTCTCTTTGCCTGGAAGTCAGTTGTTTGCTTTCTTGTTTTGAAACTTTCTGTAGCCACGGAAGGACCACAGTCCCCTTTTCATCACATTCTGCCCAAGTGTAAACTGGCCAGAGATCTCAAGGAGACTTACGACAGGTAAATGCAATTTCCTTCATGCTGTGTTGTTTTGCACCAAAACCTCTTGCCCTTGTTCCTTAGGATATTACCATTACTTCATGCTGATGAGTTACTGGGACTTGGTTTAAACTAGATGGAGCAAAATAAAGGTTAGGTGCAATGCAGTGTCTGAACCCTCAGTGTGGTCTTGGCCTTCTTTTGGGTATGTTGGGTATAGATATGGTGGATATCTATCCCAGCTTTATTGTTATTTGCTTTCCTGACTCATAGGCACGTAATGACAAGTGAACTGTAGAATTGAGAAGTGTCATGACATGAACTCTGAACCGCGTGTAAAAGAAAAATGCTGCATCTAGCATTCATGGTAATGTTGGATCCTGCTTGGGCTTCGTTTGGTTATACTGTGCATGCCCAGACAGCAAGTTCAGATTAGGTGGTGAGACTCGCAGCAGAATGGAGAGTATAACATGCTGTTTCTTGACTGGCCTAAAGGTTCTGGCAAGGATTTCAAAGAATTGTAGTTAGTGTTGAATTTCAGCAG